TAAAAAAAAAACAATGAAAAACAGAAATAAATCCGACAATTTCACTCCTCTGACGCAATACAGCCGTGGATGTAGTCGACTTTGTCGATTACTTTACATCGAAATTGAGAGGTTATAAGTTTATTTATAGGTTCTTGCGTTTTCTACTTCATTTACATGAAAGAGTCCATGGTCAATGTAATTAAAACAATCATAATCTAAGGATTCAAAGAATATTCATCTCGTGACCAAAGAACTCTGATAATTGAGATTAAAGTATTAGAGGTTAAACAACAATGACAGTTGAATTCAAATGTATCGATCTATACAGAAAACAGGTGTGAAAGCAGCCTATCTAGTAAAAAATAATTCTTTATAGGGTTATTATCTTATTAGGTTTGTGTTTTGACAGGGGACAATTGACTGAATACAATGAAAATATTCCTGCTTCCAGCTCCTTGCTGAAAGAAAAAACAATGATAATCCAGCAAACTCTCCTTGATTTTGATTGCTTACTCTTATGGCATTCTATATTTATAAAGAAACAATCATAATCTGCCAGGAACAGCAAATTAAAAAAGAATATTGGCAAGTTTCCAAATATGTTTTTTCATACATTTAATAATATTCACATCTTTGTTTCCCTTTCCGTTTTTTGTATGTTGATTTCTATACAGTTATATTATTATTAGGTCGGTATTGAATTGCACTCATGAAAAACTCGTCAAAATAAAAACAGGAAGGAAACAAAGAACACAAGCCCTCCACTTTATGAATTAAACATTATTTTTTATTGTGTTATAAATCATGTATGTCTTAGTTCTACACATTTATGAATATGTAAAATTTTCTCTATATCAGAATAAAGTTCACATTACTGAATAGTTCACTTTCCCCAATAAGAGTCGCAGATTGAAAGGAAACATTAATAAAAATAGCAAGTAAAACGACACCAGGCTTAAAGATAAGGTCGTAAGACACGCTTTCGTCTACATCAGATTCATTAGAAGAGCTCGATTTAAACCAGTTGGAAGGCGAAAACATATATTTATCCTTCTTCGCTTTGGAGATCTTATCCTATTCCGAGTTTCAAGAAGTCACATATCAGGTGCAGACGTGCACGCACTGCTTCCTGTTTGCTAAATGTCGTGAAAGTCTTCTTGCGAAACCTTGAAGGATGATGACTGTCCCAGCGCAAAGTAAGAAAACAATCCACCTGTCGTAGTTTACATAATGAACGCATACAGATTTTTTATTCATTTTGTTTTGCTGTTATTGTGTTGTTTGTTTATTGACGTGTGAGGTTAATTTACTCTAGGCTTAATGACGGTTGAACGAACAGATAGGTGTAGACAACGCCGTGGGCCATTCATTCTGGATTTTTGTCGATTTTTTATAGTAAAGTGACACTTGAAGAGCTGATTAAAACAAAAAATACCAAACGTAAAGGTTAACATTGATCAAGAATCAGACATTTGCAAGATAAGGGGCTTTCATTAAGGTGTAATACCACCAAATCATAGTACTTCACATCCGGTTGCATACGAAAAAGGGTCGAAAAAAATATTCCCTGGAATTTGACAGATGTAGGAAATTAATCCTACATTTCATTGCAGTAAACATATATCTTGGTTGTTTCAAGCACCATTCTTTTTTTTTATTTGGTGTTTCTATAAAACATTTTGGAAACTTGAGGTTACATAGTTACTAAAGCTTGTAAACAGGAAAAAAAGGGGTTGACATTTGATTGGTTAACTTCCAGTGATGGTTATTATCTTATATGCAATGAAATGTGAAACTTTGTCTGCAGTACTGGACAGGATAAAACTTTACTCATGCTAAGTATTTCTTTATTTGAATCAAAGATAAATTCTGCACATTTATTGAAAGCTGCAAATTTTACAAAGAATAAAAGGGGAAAACCAATGGTGGTATTACACCTTAATTCATTTCATTTCCATTCTATGACAGCAAATGTTAATATAAAAAATATTCTCGTCTACACTATTGGCTGGTTATACTCTCTAAGACTCAAAGTCCACAAGCAGCCACTAGACGTTAAACAGCAATCTACAATCATCAAGCACGGATATTGACACTATGTTAGTACTATCAATAACGATACCACTTTTACAGCATCTATATATATTTATTTCTCATATTACGGGGACGTACGTTTGTTTTGGGGTTTTAAATTCAATATACAATGCAATTACATTACATATTTGTTTCATAAGAATCCATTATTTTGACTGGCTGACAACAATCCGAATCCATACCAATATCATATTCTATTTCCATATAAAATACAATAGCTATGATTGCACGTGCTATCCGTGAAAATGTTAAGACAATCGATTGAAAAACAAACGAAAAGCTTGATATAACTCATTCTTTGTACCATAATAATGTAATAATCAGAATTGAATGCTTCTTTTATAATTTTAAAGAGTTGTAAAAGCGTTCATCGTGCGCACATTTTTTTTTAAATATGAAGCGCTTCTTATCAATTACAATCGACAAGCTAAACGGAGAAGATTGTAAATAAAGTAACAATTCACGTTCGAGTAAAACCAGAATAACTTGTTAAAAGTCACAAATATTATTCTACATCTCTAAATAAATGTTTTTATCTGTTCTAACTATGGATAAAACCAATTATTTTATTGAATATTTTTATTTTCCTTACTTTTGACTAAATAAAGTTGAGTTTCAAAACACACATCAAATATACCAGGCGTATAATATTGTATGCCAGACATGCCTTTTGTCTACATAATACTTATCAGCGATGCCAAAATCAAAACACTTTAAAGACAAAATAAACATGAAGTTCAAGAGCATTGACAACCACATATCCCGAAAAGAAGTGCTTAATACATCTAGGCATTTTTTGCATGCGGATAAAAAAAAATGAAGAGTTTCGAACAATTTGTTAAAATGTTAAAAACAAAAATACCGAACTCCAAGGAAAATTCAAAACGGAAAGTCCTTTATCAAAAGGCAAATCAAAACATCAAACACATCAAACAAATGGGAAACAAGTGTCATATCTTTGAATTGATACAGGTATTTCCTTTTGCAGAAAATTTGAACATTTGAATTCTTGTCAGGTTTGATATACGATATGGAATAACAAATACTAAACTTTTTTAAGCTTATCTTGTTTTTTAATTGTGTTTGTCACTCTTATATCAAATTCAAGTTTTTATTCAAAATTCCTGGTAAATTGTAAAGTATATAATATTCCTGTTCATATAAATCTAAAATTATTCGAAAATCTAAATGTTTTCTCTAAGAGGCATACTTTTTTTTATTTTCGGGGTTTTAAATGCTTTTTTAACTTCATTATTTATTTGGCCTTCAATGTCCGTTTAATCGTTACTGAGGAGTCTGATGTAGACGAAACACGCGTCTGTTGTGACTAAAAAAACATCCCAGTAGCACTGGCAAATGAAAGTTGGCTAAATAGGCGAGTGACATTGTTCAAAAAAACGCTTAGTTAAAGACTTTAATTCACCCACCTAACATACGGCTACATTATATTTCATTCAAAAGCTTCTAATCTGTATTTTCTGTTTTGCTCGGTCGTCAATAATTCGTACAATGCATTTTTTGTTAAATCAAGGCCGAAGGTCAGGAAAGTACATTCCTATTTTTTGCAAGAATTAAAAACAATGCTCATTGCTGATTTTTGTTTATTTTTTTTTTTCTAAAAATCATATGAACATAATAAAACAAAATACAATAAATCCATATCAAATGCACAGTGAAATGTTAATTGCACAATGTTTACAAAAAATTGCAGTTCTTGAAAAATCCTTCAAAAATGAAAAAAATGCACAAACATGTGTGTACTTGCAAATTTGCTATCTGTCATTATATCATACGAGTCTTGTAACTTGTATCTTTGTAATGTGGAATGATGTCGTAACAATTTTGTTCTGTCGAAATAACAGTGTTTTATAGGTAATGCTAACTATCAAAATCCATTTTAGAAAAAAACAACAAAGTATTCATGCATCCGAGACCGAATTAATCAGTGTTAATGTTATTTTATTGTTATGAATCACAGTTTGACTATAAATTTAAAATAGAGACATCATTATCTCTTTACAGAAATGGTGAAATAATTAGTATCTTTTAATCTTGTGTTAGTTCTACTGATAAATAAATAGGATGAACAATCTTCGACTATTTGAAAAAAAAGATCGCTCACCTGTTATTTTTATTATATCTTTGAACATATAACAAATATACTTCATTTTGCCAAAGCATGAAAAAAATCACTTTTCCATATTTTTTTACTCCCATACTTTGAACATTTCAAAATTATAAGGATCTTCAACATCAGGAATAGATTATCTTAGCTGTATTTGGGAAAACTCTTTCGGAATTTTTGGTCCTCAATGTTCTTCAACTGTGTACTTTATTTGGCTTTTTAATCTTTTTTGATACGAGCGTCACTGATGAGTCATTCGTAGACGAAAAGCGCGTCTGACGTATTACATTTTAATCCTGGTATCTATGATGAGTTCATATACCACCCAAAAAACGGAAAATTATTATTTTATCACACAACCTACGTTGACCTTCTGAAAACTGAATAGTACATATCATTTCTTAACCCCTTGATTTTGTAACAACGTGTTATAAAAGTATATAAACAGTTCATTATTTATTATTTAACATATGATATTATTATAAAAATTTAAAACATAATCAAAACGTTGATATTTACATTGATTTCGCCGTTTAAAAGACGTTAAGACGTTATAATATAACCATATCACGTCGCGCGTAGACACGATTTCAAATTGAAATTCGATGTTGAGAAGAGAATATCATGTTCAGACAGGAAGACGATTTGTCCAATTCCACTTTTGACAGTCTCAACCAATCAAATGTTCTTTAGTAACCTATCGATATGAACAAACAGTTAAATAACACACTTAATATAGCTGTTATATTACAAGACAGGTATTCACATCATATTTATCTTACACCTAATGATTTTTCAGATCAACTGAATCTTGCAGTGAACGACCATACCACGACATGGAAAGATGCTTTTGGTTTCTGCAAGGATCAAACGTACTGGCATCAGATATTTAATGACTGTCAACCTGAAACCTGCACTGCCTATGCTGTTGTAGATAAAATTATTAATAAGTTAAACCTAGGGAGGCAACAGTATTGGATCAATGGATATATACTGAGATCACCTGTCATCGTCAACAAAGGTAAAACTGCATGTTGCTTGTTGTGTTGTATCAATGAATTCGAAAATTATAAAAGTATTGAGCAGTTACACTATTGATTCCTCTTATTTTCCTTGTCATGTATTGATCTCAATTCATCATTGTTAAGATAGAACTACATCTTTATCTGAATGCATAAAGCAATTTCCAGTTCAGTATTTACGTGAAAAGTTTTACAAAATAAACTGTCCGTATATCATGTATATGAAACATCGATTAACATGCTGAATAAAACTAATTTCAGCTTTAAAAAAAACATATATAATATTATTTCCGTACATACCATAAGTCTTTCATATAAGCTCGTCCAAAAAACCAAATATATTAAATGTGTGTTAGCTTGAAAAACAAAATTGCCTAAATATATCGGACATAGAAAACTATGCAAGGGAACCATTTCCTGTGGAGGTTATTTTCTGAACGGGATTTTTTCAAACAGCCTGTATAATTACATATTCCCTATCGAAGCACTGGCCTGTCGACGTATGCTACTCTCAAGGACTGATAGTTCACTCACAGGGGAACGCCCTGTTATCAAAACAAATCATATGATGTCCATGCGGGCCACACGATTTTCTCTTATAACCTTCATTAGGTTCCAAAATTGGTATTTATCAGGAGTTTGTTATGGCAACATTTTAAAATTTTTGTAAGCAAAACAAAAACGTGATTAACTGTAACTACACCAGCCAAGTGGATTGAGGGTAACTTTATTAGAGTGAACTAGAACCTTACTTTTACATAATTCTTTCAACTTGGATTTGGCAACTTCAAATCATTTTAATATAAAAACACTGAAAACTAATTGGAATGGTCAAATTTGCATTTGAGAGTTGCAACATTACTTGCGTAATTCTAAATACTAAATATTAACAAACCAGATTTTATACTTGTTGCCGAATTGTAACGGGGAGGATTGATAATCCACTTAAGGATGTTTGTTCATTTATTATTGGCACCTTCTTTCTTTCAAACGCTATGAGAAAATAATAAGTTTATAACATTTTCAAAAATAGTTTTTTTTAAGTATATGTTATAAAGCTATGACAGGAAAAGTGAGGATAAGAGGGCAAAACTTTCAAAGGCACTACTGAGTTAAACCAGAAGATTCCGAATATCGGACAAAAAGCCAAAATAAAGATCAGCAAACATCCTTATACAAATGATCTTATTTCAGTGCGACCAAAACGTGAATCTGGTTAAACATCGTCAGGTACTATTATAAAGTTTGAAAAAATATACGGGCATAAAAACTAATTAACACAAATACAAAAATGATATTAAACCTATCAGACACTTAGAACAAAACAATGTTAGTCTTTCTAAACAATTAACACTACATAAACGGTATAAATTGGTTTGTATATTTATGATTGATTTTGGGAACGATGTACTTTAACTTATTTTCAAAACGGACATGAGTTTTCTGGTGATATAAAAATGTGTCATTAATCAATAGAAAATTTATTCATAATGCATTGTGTTAACATTATCGTTTTTATTCTAGGATGTTACAGTTTAAAGGTTGAACAAAAAGAATATTTTTACAGTAGAAACTTCTCATTTCTAGAAAATTCAGTTTACGAATGCTCTAGGTCTTGTGTGAATCACAATACAGAGTATATTTTTCTGAAGGTATGTTTTGTTCAGTTTATTTAAACTAGCAGATTGGCAACTTTACCAAATTTCATGATATCAAGCTACATGCACCTTCAAGATATCAATGATTATGATAAAGCACAAATTAAGTTCTGAACATCTCAACTATATATATTTAAATACACTCAGTTATATTTTTATAAGAAATCACTTAGATGTTCATGTTTTATTGCATCATATTTGTTCTATCAACACAGACATTAATCAAAAAATATACCAACACCTTCCCTGTGTCTGTGAATTTTTAATTACATTTTTAGTATTTTGAGGCATATTTTTACTTTCGTTATTTATACAATCTTAATAAGATATGCTTTTTCAACCTTTGTGACGTATAAGGGAAATATCTTAAAATGAGAATAAAAATCATTAAAGAAAAAACATTTGTCATCTGATTTAAGAGTTCCACAGTGTATTTAGGGGTGATCAAATATATCATTTAGAAATAATGGCAATAATAGTAAAATAAATCAATATGAAAATAAGAAGATGTAGTATGACTTCAAATAAGACAACTATCCACAAGAGACCAAAAGAAATCGAAAACTAATGTAATGGAATATGTAGACAGCTCTCTCACAAGCAAAAAACCCTTACTGTTAAATATCAGGTATAGGGACACATTCTACTGCATCCACAAAGCACGAGTAACAAACCCTGCAGTAAATATAACAATAAGAAGATGTAGTATGGTTGCAAATGAGACAACTCTCCACAAGAGACCAAACGAAATAGGAAGTCTTTCAAAATTTTGCTCATTTGTCTTTGATGAGTGAATATGATGATTTAATCTTGACACTTTACATGTTAAAGGGATGAAATGTCATTTGTGATATATCTGTGTAGACATTAAAATGTCAAATTGACAAAATCTACCTAAATGGCCATTTGTACATATATTTTGGATTAAACAGTTTTAAATAAACGTACACTTATACTTCCCTTACTTACATTCTTTTTAACAGGTCAGGGAAATAAATATTAAAAAGGAAAAACATTTCATCCAATTTCATCCAAAATGTATGCATCCATATCGAAAGACTGATACCGGATGCAAGAATTCAATTCAAACGTTTATATTACATTCAGATTCATGCATAGATCTATTCATTGTATTATTATTTTTAAAAACTTATTTATACGGTTTATTTTTATTATAAGGTGAAATTGTTGCGTATGGTTTTTTGAGGGATAAATATTCATTTTTCCTGTTTACAGCATTACATATTGTATACAACTAGTAATGGAAGAAAAACGACTTATACATGTATGATTTTAGTTTTTTCTTTCTGTTTTGGAAAAACCAATAAATTACTTTTCAGTGATATCCTTTAAAACCTTCAATAAAAGTGTAAGTGAAAGAATATTTGAAACATTTCGCGCAACCGAAGTGCTTTTCAGAATCAACCTTCATCAAGAACGCTCAACCAATCAATATTAAAAGCCATTGCTTCATAAATACATGAATACATGCGGAGCTATAATACTTAAAGTAAAATCAAAAGAATAACAAAATATTTTCGACTTATGAGTTTGAATGTCCCTCTGGTATCTTTTGCCTCTCTTAAGAAAGTATGTTATAAATCATGTAAGGAACTACACTGACTACTGAGCTACTGATACCCTCGGGAAGTTACTGTTCATCATCATTACTACTGACCTAGTGCTAGAAAACAAATATAACCGTCTATAATTTCTGTACGTTAGAAGCGCTTTTCTGGATTCATCTATATCATGAACGTTTAAACTTAAATATTTGATATAAGAACCTGAAAAAAGCTAAGTGACCAAAAGGTTAAAAACCAATAGCCAAATTCGTCTAAGGTCAACTTTGCCTTAGGGATTAGGAATGTTAGTTTCTTTTATTTTAATTTATTTATTTAGAATGTTAACAAACCTGAAATCACATCAAAACTAGGGATCCTAATTCTACACCTACATCATTCACGAACGATGAGATTTTTATACATAGCGAATCCATTCTTCTCTTCCTTTGTATAATAATAAAAAATGAATATTCAAATCTTCCCTCTTTGTACTGGATAACTAAACTTCACAAAATTTTTTATCATAATTCTTTCATCAGTACACTACTGAGACAAGAAATTCTTTGTTGAGGTATATTCAGTGATAAAATGAGAGGCACAATTTACTAAAGTATTCAAACTCATAAGTCGAAAACAAACTGACAATGGTCAAGGCACGTAACAAAAAAAGATCAAAAGACAAACAACATTATACATAACAAGTATGGAAAACTATAGACTTAGCAACATGAGCCCATCCAAAACCGGGTGTGATCTCAGGTGCTCTTAAAGTCGATTCTTTAAAAATTCGAGGATCGATTGCAAAAATTTCAATTACAATTTTTACAATTTTGCAATTATGTCAAACCTTTTGAATTTTCTACGCTTTACAGTACTATTTCAAAAGTTTAGTTGAAAGATCAAATACATCGTCTCATTTTACAGAATGTTTCCTACAAAAACAATACAGATTTTATGTTTAAGGTCATGAAAAATCTTACTTTGTAAAACACCACACTGATTCCACAACAAATACATTGCGGATAATATCATCAAAATGAAAGATGTTTTATTTATCGAAAACATTTTTGTCAAGTTTAGTGGATTGATATTTCTATAGACCGTAGTTATTTCAATGAGTACTAGTTCTGCACCACTTCTGGCCAACTTGTTTTTTACTCATGTGATTCAATATTCAAACAAAATCTTTGTAAAGACAAGAAAAAAAAAACACTTATCGAAATTCTTAAATTTCACTTTGATAAATTTGATAATGTCAAATTTTGATATTTGAACATCAGATTCGGATAAATTTCTTAATTTTAAAGAAAGTATGTTATCAATCGCATGTCATATCGATGCACTAACTACCGATTTATTGATACCCTCGAGGACTAATTGTCCACCGACAGTGGTATCGAATGTTAGATACATAACAAGACAAAAAAGCATATGTTTTTTTTTATTAAATGTTCTCTAGATTTTATGACGTTTTTAGGGCAAGGAATGTCTGTGTATTCCTAGGTCGAAATTCATGAGTGCGCTGAGTATTTATACAGAGGAAAATAATGACGCTTGCTCTAGCAGTTGTCGGGGACACAAAGAAGATAAATGTGGTGGTGTTTCATCAGTATACGAAGAAGTATACAGTGCCTATGAAATAGTAAACAGTATGTTTGAACCAGATGCTATATGTGAAAGCATTTGTTGTACAAACTTAATAAGAGTTTCAGGAATAAATGATAACACATGTTTGTTTACATTAATCATCCGGAATATATTTAGTGTATGAAATATTTTGACTAGAAACACTATTCAATCAATTTAAATACATCTTTACTTTAGTGTTAATTACAAAAAAAAAACTATCAATAACATCATCATCATTGTTATTATCAGCAGTTAGTATCTTTATTATAATTATTATAATCATTAAGAGAAGTGGTAGTAGTCGTAGTAGAGGTAATAGCAGCAGTATTAGTATACGTATTTTTATTGTTAATAACTGTTTACTTTACCGAAGTGTTTTTAAATTTTATTAACTGTGCAAACCGGTAAAAGGAGTATTTACATAATGCATTGCTATTTTCGTCTATCTTAAAGATGTAAATCAAGTAGGAACCCATGTCAAACTCCAATGTAAATCAAAAAAATGGGAAGTGCATAAAAACTGATAAAATCAAACGTTATCAATCAACGGAACGAGAAAAAAAGTTAAGAAAAGGTATTTTCCGAAGAAAATGGTAGTTTAAACCTGGTTTTAAAGCTAGCTAAAGCTCACACAAAAAGTGAACCTTTAGGTAAACGTGTTTAGTGCTTCAGGAATGCTTTGTTAAAACATTATCGAGTTTAAACATTTGTGTGATTATTAAATTGTGTTCATGTTTTAAATTTTTAGAAAAAAGTCCTCCTGGAATGAAACCCGGAAATACTTGTGCAGCAGTTTATTCGGATCCTACAAACGAAAATTGTCGATTCAATTACACCAGATGCAGTTCCAGTTTGCCGTATATATGTGAAGGCTATAACAAGACAAGTATGATACAAACTTTATATTATATTTCACTTTGTTTGCTATCTTAACTTAGTGAAACATTTGATTCGGTAATATCTATGCATTTATGCATGCACTGCAGACATTTTGTCAATAACATGCCAAAATAATTTTTTTGTTTTAAATATCTACTTTTTTAAATAATATTGCACTTACAATTACATTCATTTTGCAATGTATTTAATTATAGCATAATCATATTGTTAATGTAAAGTCTCTCAATTTTTCCGTGGAAAGACCTTTTGATTTTGTTCTGATTAAATTTGTTTTTGCCTAATTTTGTCTTGCGTGGTATTGTTATTTAAAAGATGTCGCTTAGATATTTAACAGTTTATACGCTTTGAAAACTGACCCTACGTAACGGAATATTTTTCTTTACAAGAGTTTTCTCCCCGAACACTGTTTTTCTTATGTGTTCTTCTCCCTTGAAACCTTAAACGATAACGTCAAAATGAATTTCCCTAAATGCTCCTAATAGTACACGATGGTCTTGAAGTATAGATTCTAGGTACTGATATTGTTTATCATCTTAATTGTTTTGTTCACGCATCGTTGTAAATATAACGGAATTTGATAAGACTGTCGTACAAGTGAGAGGTTTAGCGCTATAAAACCAGATTCAATCCACCATTTTCTACATTTGAAAATGCCTGTACCAAGTCAGGAATATGACAGTTGTTGTCCATTCGTTTGATGTGTTTTGTCATTTGATGTTGCCATGTGATTAGGGACTTTCCGATTGAATTTTCCTCGGAGTTCAGTATTTTTGTGATTTTACTTTTTACGTGTTATAGTGTTCTTTAATTTGTCTTTGTAAATTATTACTTTTTCTTTTTAGTCTTTTTTTGATAATATCCATTTGACGTGGCTCGGTACTTATACATACCGTCATTGTAATATGGTAAATTTTTGTATTCTTGTCTTTCGGTTTTACTTGTGTGCTTTGTCTATATGCCTTTTCGGTTTTCTTTGTTGACATATTTGTTTGTTTTTATAGTGATTTAGATTATAACACAATGTTGACTGCTGTACCCCTATTTTTGACATTTTTACCTATTATGTCTGTTTGTTTTGTTAACACATTGTTGTAAATATAATGGAATTTTATGCGACTGTCATACAAGTGAGAGGTTTAGCTAGCTATAAAACCAGGTTTAATCCACCATTTTCTACATCAGAAAATGTCTGTACCAAGTCAGGAATATGACAATTGTTATCCATTCGTTTAAAGTGTTTGAACTTTTGATTTAGCCATTTGATTTGGGATTTACCGGTTTGAATTCTCCTCGGAGTTCCGTATTTTGTTATTTTACTTTCTAATATCATTAGGATGTCTATTAATTTTGACCTAAGCGGTACGGAGGCCCCATATGAGATTACTCCCCTTATATTTTTTAAACTAGCTGTATGATAGTTTACTAGTAACTCATTAACCATATATAGTCTGGACAGAGGGTCTTTTGATTAGAGGTCTTTCTTGTATGACCTTGAAATTGAGGTAAATAACAAAGTTTAATTTGACGTTTTAAGTTTTGACCTTTGTTGTAACTTTTGATTGCTACATGATAGAGTGATAAGGTCTTTTCCATTGTGTTGCAAACAAATGACCTTGTAAAAGGTCAACTAGAATTAACCTTTTGTACTATGAAGTAGCAATTTTTAGCTTTATTTTTATGTAAACGTTATGAGAAGGTTGACATAAATCCGGAGGTGAAAGTTTTTACACCGGAAGTACTTTTTTTATCTCTATTTTTGTAAGCAAAGGAACTAAGAAACCATATATTTTTGGAATCAATATAAAGTGTTCCGTCTTTTGGCACGGGATGTGACATTTTGTTAACTGGAAGGGGCTGATTATCTCATCAATTTCAAGTAAAAGTACAGAGACACCATATATTTCCATAATCAGTGCAAGAAAAACTATCTTATGAGACCGTAACTAACATTTTCTATACCGGGAATAGCAAATTTTCTTCCTTATGTCTGGTAATAGTATAGTGAAACCATATATATTTTTTTTTAAATCAGTGTAACGTGAGCTACCGTATCTCTCCTTTCGGGACTTTCTGTTATCCGGAAGTGACAGTTGATCTCCCTCATTTCACAGAAAAATCCCTAGCAACCATGTATTTTATCAAATCAGTATAAAATATCCCTTCATACGACATCTGAAGCAAAAAATTTCCAACCAAAAGTAGATAATCATCTCCCTTTTTTCCAGTGGAAGTACAAATAAACCGTTTTTTTTTGGAATTGATGATAAGCTACCTGTTTTTTCTTACCTTAAGTGTTTATCTTTTATTTTTTTTTATCTTTCTTATCATAAACGCTTAGTCTTATCTCATGTGGAAAGACCGTCTGCTTTTTAAGTATATTTTCATTACTTCTCTCTTACAAACTATATCATAAACTATTAAAAATGCAAAACTCACTAGGCTAAGTATAAAACATTAACACAAGCACTGGTCAACATGGAGACATGTGTACGATTTTTTTTAAAGTTTTTATATTGTATATGTCAATATTACATTAAATATCAATAGATATATACATGATATAGATTTCCTTAGATACATGATTTTATTTTGTAGTTGTTATTGGATTTGAACTAGCTGTCAATAACTAGGAGTACTCTCAGATCTGTTCTTAGTCTGTTTTTGTTCTAAGTGATGAGGGATGAATATATAACCTGCCACGTCCTGTCTGTGTTTTTGTTTGATGTTTTTCTTTGTATCGATATGATGCGTTAAGCCTTTTTCAACTGATTTTTATAGTTTGTTCTTATGTTGTGCTGTTACACCATTGTCCCAGGATAAAGGAGGGTTGAGCGGTCACAAACATGTTTAACCCGTCACATTCTTTATGTGCCTGTCCCAAGTCAGGAGCCTGTAGTTCAGTGGTTGTCGTTGCTTCATGTCTGTCATATATGTTTTTCGTAAATTGTTTTGTTATAAATTAGGCCGTTAGTTTTCTCAATTGAATTGTTTCATATTTTTCATGTGGAGGGCTTTTATAGCCGACCATACGGTATGGGTTTTTCTCATTGTTGAAGGTCGTGCGGTTGCCTATAAATGCTTACATCCACTTCGTCTGAACTTTGGTGGATAATTATCTCATTGGCAATCACATTTCCTTATTTTTATATATTTAACAAGGGTATCCGTAATGCGCGTTTGTCTTTCATCATATTCATATATGCATTCTTTTCTGTTTTGTAAAACCATTATATTACAAATCAGTGATTTCCTTTCAACCTCGGATTTATATGTTTGTATATATATTGATTTTTATAAATATTTTCCGCGGTTTTCTCCTTGTTCTCTGAAAATCAAAATTTAAGATACCAGAGTATTTTACATTGGATGGAATGGAGGACATGTTCAATTGGTGACGAAACAGTTTACAGGAATCAAATAAATATTAAGATTTAGGTAAATAAATAAATGAATACCAAATAAAAAAGAGACAAAAACAGTTAATAGTGTATTCGAAAAAGGAGATTGTTTGTTTAAATTGCTAGCAAATAATTGAAAGTAATTGAAGAGTAATTCAGAATTACATGACAAAAAGCCAATGTGATGTACTACTTTGAATACCATGTTTTTGACAATATGTTTAATTACACATTGCATTATATTACTTTTTCAATTAACTACAGGTTATAACAATTGAATTGTTTGTTACCCCAGGTCTAAAATACAGATATTTCTACTTTAAATAGTTTATTGAAACTGAGCAAGTATATCAGGAAATGTATAAAATTATTCTTATATCTGGTTTGTTGCCGAGAAAGCGCATGGTCTTTGTGAACTCCGTCCCTGCCTACATGATTATATTCTATTCAGAACAGTATTTGGAAAAAAAACTACTTATGTCGGTCATAGTTACTGTAAATATCAAACGTGAATGTATTGTATAAGAGAAGAAAAAGACACCAAAGGGACATTCAAACTCATAAGTCGAAAATAAACTGACAACGCAATGGCAAATAACGAAAAAGACTAAAGAACCGATCATTGTGTTTTAAACAATTTTGATAGTAACTTATATTCGAAAGCGCAAGAAGCTGGTATCTGATTATGTTACCATAATTTATTATCATGTATCAAAATATTATAAACGGGACCTACGTTTATATTGTCGGTTTTCTTTTTCATTGTATAGGTTCAATTCTCAATTCTGCAAAATGTACATTATCTCATTTCAGTTGAGATAGTAGAATGTATGCAAAAGAAAATGCATACGAGTGAGCAACTGAATAAAATAATACAATTTGAAAGCGTAAGGGGGTACCCAACACTATACCCCAAAAAACCCTGTCATTTAATTTTTCTTGTTTTTCTCTCATTGATAAATTAGGCCTAGCTAAACATCTTTCAAAAGATTTGAACCATTGGTTTAAAAGATTTGGCAACTCAAATATGGCATCTTTTACATGCTAATATTGGCCAAGCTTGGAAGTTTCAGAAATATGGGTATAGGGGTATATATACTAGTCAACAAAAGTAACGATACACAAGTTTGAACTCCAATTTATCATAAAATATTATAAATAGGAAAAACTGTTAAATTATCCAATGAAAAACATTCAATTGCAAAGCAAATGCACATGATTAAAAGAATCTGACCAAATTGGAAAGTGAGAAAATACCGTGTTATTGAACACAGGGGTAAAATTTATTTTGCGGAAAATGATGACAAAAGTCGGCACTTAATTTCGAAGATGAGAGTTAAATATTCAAATATCTGCAGAGGCATTAAAACCTTTAAGCAGACCGTGTTTAGGTTTAAAGTTTTAAGTTATAATATCGATATTTGAATTTTTGGGTGAAAAAACGAGTTTTGAAATAACAAACATTGCAAAAAAATAATTCGCGTATTTGCCTTAAATCAATGGTTTTGTTAGTAAATTACACTCTGTAAATATTAGACCAATTGAGCAATTATTTATCTTGGTACAGTGTATCCAATTTCATTATATATGGAAAATATATTGCCTTGTATCGTTTCTTTTGTTGACTAGTATATGTTAATATTTTTAAAGATTAATCCTTTAAAATTTTTGTCCGAAACTAAAAAAGGGGGTCTCAGATTCAGCCCCGAAAAATGACTATGATGAGTCAAGTATTTGAAGAAGACATTTTTTTTTTTAAAATGTGTCGCTTAAATTTTTTTTTAAATAACCGTATTAAGTGCTATGTTAGTCTGTTATTCTTGCAAACATTTATAAAAATTTAACCACCAGATTTTTTTCTATTAAAGTTTAAAATATACCCCCACCCTCAATAAATAAGAGCAAGATCCATTCTGATAGTACATATGGGCCATAACATTTATGTCTTTTGATCTAGGCCTTAGATATTTGACATGTGTATGTATCATCATGAGGTTAAGTGTTTTGATTCATGATGACCTTCATGTGATCTTCAAATTTGACCTCAAAGTCAACTTATTGTATTTTTTCGAAAGAAACACGACCAGGCCATAACTTTTTCGTCTTTTAACCTAGACCTTACATCTTTGGCATGTGAATGTATCATCATGAGGTGGTGTTTTCGTTTTTGAGATACGAGCTGTTGAAATTAACAGCATGAGACGCCAAAAATACAAAGGATACATAGGGAAAATCATAAAAATCGGCAGATATTTTTACATTATCAAGATTTTCTACTTTATTGGTCCAAAGATTTTTTTTTAAATTGATATACGATTCAAAAACGAAAAACGAATCCATTGGTGCAAAGAACCACGGCTCCTGAAAATTTGAACTAGGTGATAGAATAGAGATGACTTTGTGAGATCCTCATGTATAGTCAAGTCGTTAAACATAGAATTTGATAGTATTTCAGCAGAGGTTATGAAAATTGGATACAATTGGTTTTTAGATTAAAACAAATCAGTCTTTAAAATGCTATTAAAATGTAAGAGTCTTAACTAATTTCACCTCGCAGTCCACCAAATTTTAAATTGCAGTTATAAGTGTCATATTATTTTTTTGGCCCCCTTATACTCTATTCAGTCATAATCTTGAATTGAGACTTGAGAAGAAAAACTTTACTTCAAAATTGCATTCACTACTTCGGAAAGATACACAACAGCACAATAAAAGAAAACAAATTTCGATATCCCTATGAAATTAGAATTTGATAAAGCAGAAATAACATGTTCTATTTTTATCATACATTTGTAGCTTTAGTTTCCCCAAAAATTGAGGACGGAATAGAAAACATCTGTTTATTTTCTACACCTGTCAGGATAAAGTTGAAAACTGAGAGTTGAATGACATGGTTTTTTTTCTTATTGAGAGAAATATTAGAGTGCTTAGTTTCTGTGTAATGTTTTGTGGACTGAATCTGATAGGGTTTTTTTTGTTGTTGTTGTCATTGTTTCTCGACTTGTAAATGATGTACTAGTGGTCGATTATCTCATTGGTATCTTCTTACTTTTTATATGATTATGAATATAAAGCATGTCCTTAAATGTTTAATTGCATAAAAAACGAACATGCCAGCGTTTTTCAACACACAAATTCACATGTCATATATAAATTATACATAATCTACAATTTTACACTACTAAGTGTAAATCATTCAAAACTACGGTTTTCAAAAAAATGTATCGTGGAGTCAATTCTGGTTTGATTTTAATCAATTTGGTAGGAATAGAAGAAGAATTGTCCTTATTTATTTGTTTATTTGGTTATAATTTTATCATTTCAATGTAGGCGTTTTTACTTTCTGTTGATATTAACACGAGTAGTATTGTGTACCCTCATTGCAAATCTAACACAAAACGTGGTAATAGAGTCAGAGTAACTATAACAATAGGATACTCACATTTCTGATTGGAGTCATTCTGATAATTTTGTAGAAGTTTTAAGACAGCACAGGCATACTTTTTGGGTTCGTTATAGACCCCACGTAATCATTTGTGATGTCAAAGAGGAATTTAGGCAGTGAACATTTAAAAGGAACATCTGTAACTAAGACTAACACTTAAATATAAAGATGCTAAGATTTTTATACATGAACTTTTTAAACTTGTCTATCAAGGATGTAGTTTTGTTTGTCTTTTACTCCAAAAACTATAAAGTGCCGATCAAAAAAATAATGAATAGTATTCTTTATACGTTTTTAGAATGTTACAATGAACCTGTGTCATGGTACACCGCTAGACAAAACTGTCAAGAAAAGAGTTTGAAGCTTACAAGTACAAATAAAAAACGCTGTCCAAAAAAACAACATTGGATTGGAACGTATGTCGCAGAAAGATTTAAATGGGGAAATGGTATATGCGTTTATTTTTTTTATTTTTTTATTGAAGAGCCATTATGCATACTAAAATCAACTGATATAATATGAATACGATAACTGAGTAATTAGTGCATTCAGGGTATATTGTCAATAAGTTAAAGTATTTGGTGTAACACTGCTACATTTTTTACGGATTCAACTGGAAGACATCTTCTTATTTATATTTTACCTTGAAGTGTAGGGATGTGAAATTTAAAAACAAAATCATCAAGAATCAACAACGAACAGAAACAACAATGTTATTCGTTTGAATATAATAAAACTCGGGAGTATTGCATTAAAAGGTTACTGATAAACAGGACATGGAGAGTGTGTTATATATACCACTTCGTGTATTCTAACCTCATCATGCGTAATTATTCTTCGGTGAGATATGTTCTATCAAAACGACAAGTTGAACATTATAATGGACTTCCAATTCATTATCTTTACTAGTGGAATTAAAAGGTTACTATTTCCATTTTCCAAAACAAAAAGTATAAACAGAACCATAACATGCTACAATTAGCAATTTGTTTTCAAATACAGGACAATTTTACAGTATAATATCAATTTAAGCGTAAATCTCAGGACAAATATAGAAAAACCGCAAGAACAAAGGAACGTATCAATATAAAAAGACAAACATAGTTAATTATGTAGTCTTATAAGGTCTCCAACAGTAGAAAAGCGTCCATACTGCATGTAACTCTTTTTAAAGGTTTGAGTTTAGACAAATTGAACAATTTTTTAACAATGACCATGAAATCTCTGCTTTAAACCCATATATCCTGAAAATATAAATGCATTACCTTATCATTTTAAACAAAGACAAATAGTTTTAACTAGAGTGAGCAACATAAAAAGTTGGCAATTATACCATTTCTTCTTACTTTTATAAGGTTAAACTCGCGAGTACTCAACGGTTCCCTATCAGAATACTGATATGCTTTTCTTGATAAAAAAAACTATGTTAAAAAAACCTCATATTAATAAGTGAATATACAGCCATAGTGGTTATAACTCTTAATATTTATTTAGATTTTTTACCGAGTGATGCGCTATGTCTGACATTAGTGATTGATGGATCTGACGTTAGATTTGACACAGAAAAGTGTAAGAGTATATTGTATTCCTTATGTTGTGAGTATTTACATCATTGTTGAATATATTCATTCGATTCTTTCAAGTTATTTATAAGGTACAGTAAAGAATGGATTGTTACGTTACAGTCAAGTCTGAGTCGATACCTCTGCTAAAGAACTGTTAGTCCCCAAGGCATCTCTAGCCCACTAGTAAGTGTTTCGGTACTGGCATGAAAATACGGATCTTTTTTAGCAAACCTTTTGAAATTTGGGACCTAAATGCTTTTGAGTTTCGTACTTTATTTGGCCTTTTGAATTTTTTTTATTCGAGCTTCACTTGTGAGTTTTTTGTAGACGAAACGCGCGTCCAGCTTACAAAATTGTAATTCTGGTATCTCTGATGATTTTTTAAATAAAATTTGCTGCTTTCAATTTGTTTAAATAATTTTGAATTAAGGAACGTATCTCCATTATGCGTATCTCTGAATCCTTGACCGGGTTTTAATTATTTTTGTCCTTTTTTATCAGCTCTTTTGTGTACGTAGCAGTTTTTTTTTTACTTCAAATATTTTGGCCTCAAGCATCACTGAGGAATTGATTATTGTCAAAATGTATATCCAGTGAAGTGCAATTGAAATATGAATGTTATTTATATAATTAAATTCAAATATTTACAAACCTATCTGGATAGTCCAAAATTGAATAGCCATCACCATAATTCAGAATATCAAGGCAATCCTCCTGCTAATCGTTTAACCGACTAGGAAGATTGGTTGATAACACATGAATTGATTTGTTTTTTTAAGATATTGATGGATAACTTAAGAATTATTTTACATATCCTTACTTGAGGAGAAGGTATCATAAGGTCGAAAATCAAAACGTATCATAAATCTATAATATAACATCCACCAGATCTTCTTGAAACAATATTAGTCCGTCGGACATCTGTATTTATATTTTTAATTGTGTCTCACATATTGGCATTACGGCCTCACGCCTAATACATTAAGTGCAAAATAACTTATCCAGCAAAACTACCCTCATTTTGAGATCTTGTCAATAATACTTAGATATGAGCAACAACATTGCCCAAAAGAGATACTAAAGTATGTTAATGTATGTAAAATATTTTTTGGTTTAAAGGTGTTGCTCCTATATTTTGGACCTAAAATTTAAAACCAAATACTCCATGTTTATGTCGTCATAGGGACATCAAAAGTGATCTTTCTGCACTTACGTGACCTGATTATATGAACCTGTCCTTTTATCAATAAGATTGACATAGTTTTGAAAGGCTTGATCATGTAATTTTTTTCACCATTTAAGTAACCAAATGATGGCGATTTCGAAGATTAGCCGTTTTAATTTCGATTATTTTTATATTAGACGTTGCAAGGTTTCGAGACCAACATCGTGAAAAAAATACAATTTCTATATATTTTATTTCTACCTTTCACAGAATAACGTTGAAACAAATTGTTGGAAAAGTTCCATTTTGACGTTTTTATAGTTATGTACAATAGAAACGCATACAAAGTGTTATACATCTCAGCTAAGTGTGCTTTCATCCATCCAAATACATTTGTACATTCAGATGTTCTTTTTTGATAACGCGTGTCAATTTTACAGACGATGTCCACTGACACTGGTTTGTATATTAGCGTGTAATGAACTTCTGGTGCAGTTGTGTATTCCACCTTAATCAAAGAGATATTATGGTGAAGTTTTTGGAAAGTGTTTTGCACAAAAATAGATTTTTACATTAAAATATAAGTAGATAGACTACCGTAAAATTATTTCATAGCAAGAAAATGTGATCATGGAACACTTCTCTCCGTTCCCCATATCACGTGTCAATTGTTCTGAGAACCGCAAAATAAAAACATTAATTTGTTATTTATTAATGAAAGTTCACATTCCAATGAGCATGTGTAGAACATTCCTGATTGATGTCCCGACATCTTCATGATAGACTACCTTAAACAAAAGTTTAACCTGATACAGGTTGGATGCATGTACGAATAATCAAACATGACTAGTTGGTTATAATGTAATAATAAAATTGAGAATGGAAATGGGGAATATGTCAAAGAGACAACAACTCGACTAAAGAGCAGACAACAGCCGAAGGCCACCAATGGGTCTTCAAATCACCAGTTGTTAAGTTGTTTTCAGTGCTTGACGGATCAAAATGAAATTATGCTGTAAACTTATTTTACAACTGTCACATTAGGAAAAAGGCACATATTTCTATAAACATCTCACAAAATGAACACAAATTTTGGCAGATTGTGTTTTTCCTGTAGTTTTCTGGTTTCTGCAGTTTACAATGAATTTGTCGCCTAAATAATTTAATTCTGCCTATCCATCTTCTAAGAAAACACAAATTCTACGTGACACAATCCATTTATTGCCTTGAAGTGAGATATTTTCCTGTGTACAATGCATCACAGTGATTTTAATAGAAAAAAAAAACAGCATAACAGCGCCATACATGCGTTGGGCATTTTCCATTTTTTTGTGTTATGAATTCATACACCTTATTCATTCTATCTCATTTCATTGATATGGAATTGATACACGTGTGGTTTGATAACTAGTTCAGAGACACTTAACAAGCAGCTAAGGGATATTTTCACAGATATTTTTGCTTTTAGATAGTAATAATTTTAGCAGCATTTCTTATAACCCAATGGAAGCTTACAATTTGAACATCTACATTAAATTGAGATTGTATCATTCACTACACACTGCAAGAGAATGAATTAAACTGACCAAATTAATTAAGGAATAATTCGATGTGACAGAACGTGCTTCAGAATAGTGAAAGAGTGTAATATACCGTAATTATACAGTCTTATAGAGGAACGGTTACATTTCAATATTATTAAGACAACGTCTCAAAGAGGCGATTTATAAAATATATGAACGGATTATCAGTTCGACGAGGCCTTTTGAGTCTGATTATTATTTAGTCAATCAGAGAGAAGTTGCTGCCAAATCAATAGTTTATGACATTATCCAACATGACTTAAATTTAGATATGTGAATGAATTGAAGCATTCAGTAATGATATGTACCATTGTAAAAGATATTGTTGCAGCCGTTATTTCAGTTTTTTTAAAGCAACGGTAATTGATCAAAGATAATGAAAATAAAACTTTATATATCTATTTTCTCTTATATTTCATTTTTGTAATTATTGGTTTACTATTCCTGCAGACAAGAAACATCATACGACTAGCAAGAAGGAAAACGACAGTCCTTACAGATCAACAAATTCGGCTGGGGAAAAAAGTTCAGCAGGTTATCTAAGCATTAAATAATGAGAATGAATCACGAAAATGTATGTGTACTCCATTGGAGCTGGGAATTAATTGCTCTAAAAAACATGCCACTTGCGTTTAGAACATGTTTTTATCGTTTATCTACTGGTCAAAAATCACATTGACAGTTAAACGTGCAATTTTCTAATGATTTACTGATTATAATTGAACAATTGTATACGTAACGGTTTCACTTGCATCCTTTTATTGTCTCCAATGTTCATTTCGGGTGATGCTATATTTGTTCATAACAAGAGTTTGATGAAAAATATTAGACCGAAGCAAATAACTTTCTGCAATGGGACAGCAGAAAGCAGTGAATCCTAGTTGATATATGTGACAGTTTCCCCCAAAGAAGGTTACTGATAAGTTGGTGAGTATAGTCACCATCCAAATCTGATTTTCAATGACATACAATAGTTGGCCCAAAAAAAAATGAAAAAAGGACGATCAATGTGATCAGACTTTCGTATTCAACAAATTTATATATTATTTTAGTTTGAGAAAAAAACTGCTAATATACTTTGTAATCTATTTTTAGGTCGTACAACATATAGGAGTGCAATAAAAACAGAGTCCGATTCAAATAAGGATAAAACAAATACTATCGGTAAGTCTTTCATTAAATCAGGTTTTACTAGTTTTTTACTTCGAGTTTTATATCATAGGCGGTATCAACTTCTATAACTTAAACTTCTTACAACAAATTAAACGTTAAATTAGGAAAATCTGATTTTGCTTTTGTATCAGTGTAGACAAAACGCGCGTCTGGTGTACACAATTATCAACCCAGTATTTTTTATATGTTTTTTACAACCCCTGGATCGATGCCACTGCTGGAGGAGGTTTATTCCACGAATGTAACATCAGCCAGTAGTCACCACTTCTATCATTTATATGGTCATATTTATAAATTAACTGTTTTCAAATCTTTCAATTATTCGAAATACTTTAGATTTTTTACCTCGTGAATAGATTTTCTTTATTGAATTTCCCAAAACATTTCGGAATTGTTAGTCCTTGATGCTCCTCAACTTCGTACTTGATTTGACCTTTTAACTTTTTTATTCGAGCGTTACTGGTGAATCTTTTGTAGATGATACGCGCGTCTGGCGTTTAATATTATAAGCTTTGTATCTTTGATATGTTTCTTTTATGTTTTTCTTTATAAAGGGATGTTCTCATCAAGGATTTTACTGGCAATAAATGACAAAGATATAAAACACACTTCGACAGTTATACGTGCAACTTACTGATAAACCTGCATATTTTCATTCAATTTTTGGTCGATGCTTGGAGTAGTCTTTATGTCTCTTAAATTTTTTTGTGCTTTTCAATACATCATTATACCTCCTCCAGCATACACAAACGAAAAAGAACAGAGATAAAAACCGATGTTATTTCCCAGTATATCATGATATTGTTATTGTTTTTAATTATAAAAAATAAATAAAATTCACATATAAAGACCTATTTTACATATGATTTAATAGAACCATATGCGCACATTCTGTCTATTAATTTTTAGTGTAGTAGAATAAATGTTTCTGGATTAATCTTTATCAGTAATGGTTGACAATGATGTTTTGGAAGTCAAACATTCAAATCATATGAAAGTATAAAAATCAAAACGATACGAAAAATCATTTTAAATTTGACATTTCTCATTTCGAGGTGGACAATTCTCATTACATTGGACATTTTCAAATAAAAAGTAAAAGCTAAGTAATACCAAGTTGGAACTGAGAAATGTCGACTTGGAACTGAGAAATGTCGACTTGGAACTGAGAAATGTCAACTAAGAAATTAAAGTCGACTATGAACTATGAAATGTCAAGTTGGAAATTTTGAAATTTCAAAATAGAAATGACAATTCTTAAAAATAGAATGTAACTACTGGTCTTCCGTAAAATGACATAAACAGAACTACAAAAACTATACTATCATACAATTCCAAAGGGAGCATATTTGTGCTTATATTATAATAAAGAGATGTGGTATCATTGCCAATGAGACAACTATGCACCAAAGTTCAAATAAAACAGAAGTAGGCATTTATAGACGACCGTGCCGCCTTCAACAATGAAAAAGACACAAACCGTATAGCCGGCTATAAAAAGCCCCGTTAGGAAAACTGTAAATCAATTAAAAAGAGAAAACTTCACGCCCTAGTTTATATCAAAGACATTTACGAAATGCAAATATGACAGACAGGAACCAACGGCAACCACTTAAAAACAGGCTTCTGACTTGGGACAGACACATACAGAATGTAGCGGGGTTAAACATGTTTGTGAGCAGTCAGCCCTCACCCTAACCTAGAACAGTGGTGTTACAGCACACCCTAAGAACAAAGTGTATACTCAGTTGCAATGGGTTTAATTCAAACGATCGGTACGAGACACAAACATAACTAACATGAAAACAATAGGCACAAAGCACTCGCAGCTACTGAAATCTAGTTCAAAGCCAATTACAACTTTTAAAAAAAAACATTTTGCCCATACTTGTTTACTTAAATAAATACCTAGTTGGAAGTTTACAAGCATACACTGACTAAAATAATGTCATATTGTACAAGACAGAAAAGGATAAATACAATAATTGATTGTGTAACACTTGATTTTCACCATATAAATTGTTCAAATGTTTCTTTTAGTTCTGATTGTAGCTGGGAGCGTTGGAGGAGTTCTCGTACTTATGATTGTCTTAATAATTGTGATAGTTATTAAAAGAAGTTAGCATTTCATTATTCTTCTTTACTAGTGAAGTCTTCGGTAGCGAAGTTACTCATTAATTATCAAAACGATACAGTTATAATATAAAAATAAGGAGATGTGGTATAATTGTCAATGAAACAACTCTCTAAAAGAGACAAAATGCCATAGAAGTTCTAAAACTATAGGTCACCGTACGGCCTTCAACAAGCAATACCACATAGTCAGCTATAAAGGCCCCAAAATGACAAATGTAAAACAATTCAAACGAGAAAACTAACAGCCTGATTTTTGTACAAAATAATGAACTAAAACAAATATGTTATACAGCAACAAACGACAACCACTGACTTGGGACAGGCACATCCAGAATAAGTTTAATTGGTCATGGAGGTGTATGTTATTCATGCTCAGGTTATCTGTTAAATTAAAGAATTTATAACAAATAATAAATGCATGCTTCTGAGGTCATTTAAGCAAGATTAAACCACAACCTTAGTCTTAATTTTGTATTTTCTTTGGTTGGGCTGACTTGTGGTCCAGTTCTCAGCACATTTGTGTTTACATGCAGTATCAATGACAAGTTAATTTTCTGTAAATCAACTGTTATAAAACATGAAAACAACACGTTATAAATTTCATACGTCCGATGCGCTTTTCTGGATTTACCTTCATCAGGAACGCTCAAAGTCGAAAATTTGAAAGCCAAGGATATATCATATAAAGTTGGATTATTCTAAACACAAAATATTTAAGGTTGTTCTACTCCTTGGCATAGATTGCCTTAGTGGTACATTTCATAAAATTGAAGGTTTTATTGATCTTCGACTCCGTATTTTCTTTAACCTTCCAACTGCTTTTATTCGAGTGCCACTGATAATTCTTATATAGACAAAACGTGCGTTTGGTGTACCAAAATATAAGCCTGGTATCTTTCGTTGTTGAGTTATTTGGCCGGGTGATAATGATACATTTTCAATTTTATAATGTTTTCCATAAAAATGTATTGAATAATTTTAATACAGACATTTGTCTGAAAATTGTGGAATATGTCTGATTTGAAAACATTTTTATCTTTTGAAAGATTTTCATTGAAAATCGGTTAAGCGCTAGGAAGATGAACCAAAATTGGAAACCTTAACTGAATAGATCAAAGTTTTTTTATCATGCATTCTGAAGCGCATTAAAAATGTACGATGTACAATGAGCACTGGTTTTTCTAACCCTTTTAAGAGAACCTAGTATATGGATGTTTTATTTTATCAAATATATTGTTATTCAAACATACAAAGCCTCAAATTATATTTTTTTATCAAATTATGCAAACATCATTACTTAGAATGTCTAAAATAAATAAGATTTCATAGAAAAATTAGAAATGCCACATATATCCCTATATCATTCACGAAAAGTAAATTATACAAAATAATAAATCCGCTCGTCTATCATTTTTTGAATTAATATAAAAAAAAGGACGATGAAAATCTCCCGTCTCTACACTAGATACCTAACATCACAGAAATACTACCAAGTAGGATATATAGTATGGTCGTCGAGATATTCGACTACACATTGTTATTATCATCCTTCTTTCTATAGTTTAAGATAGCCTTTACAACTGTTGTGATTAGGTATATGTAACCAGCGATGTTAATCAGATATGGATGATTCTTAAAAGATTTTACTACAAAATCTATAATGAAATTCTTACATATTTTTAGTAATATCAAAAGCATTTTATGTTCTACACACTACACAACTATTTCTCATGCTTAACTGACATATTGACTAGATCAGCTAATTAAACAGAGCTTTTTCAACAAATACAGGAATATGTATTTACGATTGCCATGTTTTGCATCATAAAAATCTTACTTTGTAAAATACCATACTGATTCAATTAACAATGCTGGGATATTTGATCGACAAAATATTTGTTGAATTAAATGATTGATATTTCACCAGACAGTCGGTATTATAATGGGTACTATTTTTTTTAATCCGACTTGCGGACTTGTTTTTTTTACTCATATGAATCAGAATTTTACAAATCTTTTTCAGAGACAAAAAATAAAATCTTGCTTCGCTCTTTAATTTCATTTTCAGAAATATTGGTGATGTCCTATCCCTCAATAACCATTTATTTCAGTGAGTGCTTGCATCTCATATGTACCAGTGAACTTGAGATTAAGGATACTTCCCAAACTAGAACGTTCTGCTCCATATCTTGAGCTTTTTCTGGGTATTGACGTAGATGAACGAAATCAAACTAAAATCTATGACTAATATAATGATTTCAACTTTCTACTAATCATCTTCCGTTTTCTTAGCAGTAACATACACAAAGCCCATAGTATGGCGTTTACACATCTCATTTTATACCTTAAGCTCATGCATCATTACACTGTATGGACTTCATTAATAAGGGTATGCTCCTTATACAAAAACTACTCAAATAGAGATAAGAGGAAGAACGAGTGGAATCGACGCTGCATAAGTTTATCGGTCATCATCACGTATTTCTTGACCGATATGATGTTTCGGTGTCCCGGCTCACAAGCGATAAGTTTTCGTGGTTTAAGATCTTTAGAATTCCGGAAAAGACCTCTGGTTTGTAATTTTACTGATTGTGTCCTATTCCCAACTGTGAAATTCCGACTGAGTATGGATTGGCATGGCGGGTGACGCATGAATAGCAGGAGGACGCTTACTCAATCGACGTACCCGTTCGTGTTTTTTTTGAAATTCTTGTGTATCTTTTTTAATCGATTTATGAGATTTAAACAATGGTAAATTACTGTAACCTAAATTAATGTAGCATGATGTTTTTGATGTTTTTTTGTCATGAGATTTTATTTTGTTGTTGTCTTGATTTTCAAATAAATAATTTTTA